ATTTATATATCAATGAAAAATTGTAGATGTCTTAAACATTTTAAATTTAAGATCATGTTCCATTTATAGCTGAATTTTTAAATGATTGAAATGAATTATTAAATGTTGTTAAAAATGTCCAATGTTTTTTTATATACATACAATTTTAAATTTAATATTTTTACTACAGTTATATAAATTATATTTTAACAAATATTTAAATAGTAAATATGGAAGTTGATGAAGAAGATGTTGAAGCTCCATCATCAAGTACGAGTAGCCGTGGAGAAAAGAAAAGATTTGAAGTAAAAAAATGGAATGCTGTTGCTTTGTGGGCTTGGGACATTGTTGTAGACAATTGTGCCATYTGCCGTAATCACATTATGGACTTATGTATTGAATGTCAAGCCAATCAAGCATCGGCAACTAGTGAAGAATGTACAGTTGCGTGGGGTGTGTGTAATCATGCATTTCATTTTCACTGCATATCTCGTTGGTTAAAAACTCGACAAGTATGTCCTCTAGATAATAGAGAGTGGGAATTCCAGAAGTATGGTCATTAATAGAAATACATTTTAAGTTTTAACTTGTTTTTTTTTCATTCTTTGTATGGATAATAAATATTGAAGTATTATTAAAATTTCATTAAAATTAATTTTAAAAAAAAAATTGCTGGCCCGTCACTGAATTTCCTTTTGTCAAACTATTTTATAAGAGATCATCTTGTAAAATATTAAATTACATACATTATACAATAAAATAATCTGTCTAATATGGATTTTCTGATAATTATTGTTTTGTTTATTTTATTATTTTTTATTGATGCAAATAACTACAGAGTTATTTATTATAAAGCCAGTTTGAAGTAGTGTCAATGCACCCTTCACTCAATACATAACCTAACCTTTCACCCACCCACCCACCTTTCCTTACACACATACATATTAATGTATTATTAGGTAATAATAATTTATTATACATTTATACACCTATATATTCTAAATTCTAATATAATGTATCACCATGACTATTCCTCAAGTGTCAGTGCATGTTGCATGTCTCGTGACTGCATTACTACTACTGAAACCATCGTTAATTAGAGCAATACAGCAAGATAATTATGTATACTATTTGCTATTTACACTGTATTATAATATAATACCTATAATATGTCAAGCAGTTAACCACCTACTCACCCACCCCAAAATCATGTGTATCCGTCGATACACTTGAGGTATAGGATAGCCGCCACTGTATAAAACTATATTTTTTAATTTTTTATCAAAACATGAAGTAATTGTAGTTCTTATGCCTGTGATTCTTATTATAAAACCAGAATTTTGATATCTCCATTATTTTGTGAGATATCGCAATATTTGCAATGGGTAAATTCTCACGGGATACACTGTATAGTGTAATTATCTAAACACTTCCCATAAAAAAATTCCTAAATTTGCCACGGAATGATTGAATACTATATTATTAGATTTATATCATTAAAAATCTATTATTTTCTAAAAGTTGAGTTTAGCAATAAATTAATTTTTGCGAAAAAGTGAATACATTTGTCAGGTAACAACATTACGTAGGCAAATAAATTTATTTTGAACGCATTGATTGTTAGGTATATTATATTATACTATATTAGCAGGCTGTGGTGAGGCCTTACGCGTGTTCGTCGTATAGATGGCGACTGTCAAGTGCCAATCATGGCCGATCCTATAAGTATTAGACATATTATTTAGACCTCCGCCGGGCACAATAAAATTGTACAATATAGAGAAGATAATAGATATCAGCTATGGCCTTTTGACAATATATTGTTTAATGTAAGGTAAAATTTCTTTATGAATTAATATATTGGACGCCGGACGGCAATGCTGGAAATTACTCCTACTCGATAAAGGTTTAATGCAGTGCATTGTGTATGTTTTATTTAATTATATGTATTTAAAATATAAATTTCACATTGAATAATAATAATTGATTTATATAATGAAATTATATTAAAAAAAACTCAATTATTTAATCTGAATGGTTACTGGTATCTCAACGGTTATCGGTTATAGTAGACAGGCCTAAACACTGAACCGCGGTTAACCCGTTAACCATCAACGTTAGATTATATAATCTGTGGTTTTACCAGGATTGGCACGAATTCGTGCCGCAATTATTATCATCTCTGGTCGCCCTGGTGGCTGGGATAAATATGAAATAATAATTAATATTTAGTCCGGCAGTCGACACCCGTGGCCGTATCGGCGCTCTGCCGCATCGGACCGTTCTGGTGTTGGAAACTCGGAACTTCAGTATTCATTATTCTGTATTCACGTTCATTCGGCATTCAGTTATCAATAAGTATCCGTAAGCGGCGGTTTGTCTTCTTAGTGCGTTAAGGTAGTGGAAGGTGACTAATTTTGTGCTCATCTACCGAGTTTTTGAAAACACATAACTGAAATACCGATTCACACCGAATTTTTTAATATAAATAAATAACTCGTACACGGTGTGGGCACCAGAACTACTTCCTCACTTGAAGTCATAATTTTTTCGTTTTAATTAAAAGAGAAAATTAGTTTTTTTGCGCCATTATGGGTCTGTTAACAGAAGGGCAACCACTCTCCTGGGATGAAACGAAACAGTTAGCTGATCATGTCAGACAGCACGGTATCGATCAATTTCTGAACTTGTACCATCAATTGTTGGACCGCAAAGGAGATATTCTGAAATGGGGTGATGAGGTAATTATTGACGATGATGGTAGATTAAATTTGTAATACAGTTAGGTAGTAGCTTTAATATCATAACACTTTTTTTTGGACTTATCTCGTTTTCAACTTTTCTAGGTTGAATACATAATCGTCAAATTTGATCACACCAACAAAACTGCAAAAGTCAGTCTGTGCGCACAAGATATTTTAAGTAAACTTAATGAAAAAGAAGCTAACGACCCACAGTAAGTACAATTATTATTCCGGATTGAAGAATAACAATAATAACATTATAATTAATTGTAGACTGTAGTATTGAATAAGGATTTTGTATTTAAGTAAAACAATTTTATGCTTAAACAAATTATATGATTGAAATTATTTTAAATTCTGAAATTGCCCTATAAAGTATCTACTTTTATACTAATCTATCTATGTGCAAAGAATAAATTACTAAATTTATTTTAAATAACATAATAATTTACAGTAATTTAACCGTAGATAATTAGTTTCGCTTAAATAAAATAAAATAATGTTTTGACACACATAGTTATTATGTACCTATACCAACTATAGATCAATTCATTCAATTCATACCCCAAGGGTATCCTATTAATGTAAGAGAAATGAACTTACATGATTAATAATCATGAAGTTGTTGAATAAGTAGTTAAATTAATGTTGTATAATGGTAGTAGTTAGCCTTGTTTGGTTTGTTTTGTAATTTAATTTTTAATTTTTTTTATTCGTCTACAGATAATTTAGATCTATCTAGATATCTATCAATAAACTAAGAAGGATTAATTTTTTCAATTAGTTTAAACTATCAAAACCAAAATTATTTGTTTATATTTAATTT